GTGGCCGTGCCGCCCGTCGCGGCCTGTCCAAAGGGCGCTGCCTTATCGCCCACCACAGCTTGTCCAAACGCCGGTGTTTGTGGCGTGCCGCCCGTCGCGGCCTGTCCAAAGGGCGCTGCTTTATCGCCCGTCGCGGCCTGTCCAAAGGGCGCTGCTTTATCGCCAGTCACGCTCTGTCCAAACGGCGCCGCTTTACTTCCCGTGGCGGCCTGTCCAAAAGGCGATGGTTTAATATCTCTTGTGTGTTCTGTAGGTTGTCGTGTTTGGAGTTGCTTATTTGCCAAAAACGGCTGAGTCTGTTTTGATTTTTCGCTTGAAAGCTGTTGTAACGTCTCACGAGAAGCAGTTTCCTTTTCCTGGATTGAGCTTTTGGTTTGCGTGCGTTGCGCGGACGGAGTTCTTTGCTGCGATTGCTTTTCAATCGTGCCTCTTTCCGTTGATTCTGTGGACCCGAATGAGGGAAGGTTTCTCTGGTGATAGTGGGGCGTGTAGCCCACAGCGTACATGGTTGTTGGGAGGCGCTGTTTGTCCGGCAGCCTGTGCGACCCACGCGCGCAGTCTGTAGTCAGCTGCTTGCAGTGCGAGAGAAGTGACTCGGCACCGACAATGGCATTTCCTGGTGTCGACACGTTTCCCTCCACGACCGCGCGGAGGTTCGTGCGCATTGATAGGTGGAGGTGCGGCTCCTGAAGGGCCGTTATGTCCACATCGAGCGACGGTATCTGCTCGAATGCCAGGCGCTGTACGTTGGCGCGCAGCAGGCGCACTTGCCTACAAAGCTCTTGTAAACTTGCCGCCCCACACGACGCGAAGTCCCCATGCACCGCCTCACAGACGGCATCCAGTCGAGTGGGATGCGAAGCCATATTCAAACAGTCACAGAACCCACACTGACAACCAAAAAAACTACAATAGGAAAAAAAATTTGCAAGATATAATTCCCTTTACGTTGTCTAGCTAATAATCAGTATGCTCTAAAAGAAGCAAAGAGTGGGAAAGAGGGAAGAAATGTAGCCCACAGAAAACACCCCAATTGGATGGCGGCAACTGCACTCATGGCGGTTGGTGGGGAATCGCCCTCGAACTAACGCCAAAAAATTTTTAAGTGAGGAGTGTTCCTTTTCGGTCGCCGCTGTTTCCTGGACCACCCAAACCCAAACCCAAACCCAAACCCAAACCCAAACCTAGCATATACCACAGCTCCTCGTCAAATCGGCTCACGCGGCAAAGTTGCAACGCCGAATCGGCCCACCCAAGCGGTGGTACGCAGAGCGCACATACGGGCACCGCACCAGGAAATAGCGGGAAAACAAAACCTGAATTCAATTTTTTTTTCCTTTTAACGGCCGTGTTCAATCAAACACGCCTATGCCACTAAAGTCGAATGCGTCTTGACGCACGATTGGAAGCAAACCTGCCTGACTTTGGGCCCTCCCAACCATTTGAGAAGCAATGAAGTGTCCAGTGCCCAAAAACAACGGCATCACATCAGCACCGCAAACCCGGAAAGGCATCTAGTGAGCAGCCTTAACAGGCAGCTTCCCCCCCCATCTCTTCTAACCCGATCAAAGGAGGGCACTGAGCCCCGCACCTCCTCGACTGGGGCCCACCTCGCTTGCTTCGTGTCGTCCCCATGACGTCGTATTGATGTCATGCCGTCATGCCAGACTTCCACACAACGGGTGAAAACACCGTTTAGACGGTCGAATCTCTCACATTTCTTAGGCGCGGAGGCCTTTCTACGTTCGCAACCGCCTACTGGGAAAACTGTGCAGCCCACAAATTAATGCCCGAGTCTCTCCCTACACAACTCTCTGGGGGTTTCTCCTGGCCAATCGCCACAGCGCCCTTCGCCCATTCCAGATCCTCGCGCCAGCGCCGCCAGAAACCAATGCAATTTCGCGTCCCCATTCAAAGCTCTGGGTATACGGCGCACATAGCTCCGCCTTGCGGTTCATCTTGGCCCCCAAACATACTACTATTTCCCTCAGGGCACAAGAGGAGAAAAAAAGTGTCACAACGAAATTAAAAAAAACACAAATAATACCGGATGGCGCTCACCATCAATCAAGACAAAGGTGAAGGCAACGCGCCAGCGCTAGTGTGCCCGCTTAGTGTTAGCACAACAATCCTGCAAGATGTCCGGTCAGGCAAACCCACCCAAGCTCTAGACACAATAAACCCATCCGCAGATCTATGAATGAATCCATCTTATTATCCCGTGGCAAGGCAAAGAAAAATGTCTCACGCACATCTTCACCTCAACGTTGAACCCACACAAAGAGAGCGCGAGAAAGACGGATAAAAATTTATATCAAGACTAAGTTTGACACGCAATACAAAATGCCGCCTAGAATTAAGATCTCTTCAGGAATCACAGGACAGAAGGAAAGAACAGACACAACGCTTCGCAGCATACACGGTGTAAATTGGAAGGCCTTTGCCAATTACCCCTAGATATTAAAATTAGAATCGGCACATTAGTAATGCTTACGAAACGCGTTCGAGAGATGAGCTCGCAAAGCCTGCGAGAATCCAACAGCCGTACTTCCTTTGTGACACACAGGGGGTATCTCTACCGGGGGCGATGTAGGAAATGCAACCGGACCATCCTCCGAAGTCTGCTGCGGCACAAGACTTAAGTTCTGCAACTCACACCTTATCTCTTCAAGAAGTTCTGTTCGGAACACAGCCAACATTTCCTCAAATTTGCGCGCCATCGCAGACACATTGACCCCATCTAAAGACATGTCTTTACTTACAAGAAGATCATTCGACTCTTCAACGTTATCCATAAACCGTTTCATCAGGCCTTGCACCTCCACACCACTTGTAGGAATAATAGGACACTTAAAAACAGACACCACCTCCTCCTTCGAACCCTCAGAGACCACACTATTAACAACTTCTGCTTCATCATCTGACGGAATAGCAGGAACCACAAACGATGATAAAACGAAAGGAACTTCAGCACGCACAGTAGCCTCAATTTGAGGACTAGAAGAAGCAGCAAACTCAACACCAGAAATAACCTGTGAGGCCAAGCCACACCTGCTACTACGAGAATATCCATCCTCCTTTCCTACATCTGCCGAGGCCGGTGCACCAAACGCGCTCTTGAAGGCTGACTCGGCGGGCGGCTTCTTATCATCCGTCGAGGCCGGTGCACCAAACGCGCTCTTGAAGGCTGACTCGGCGGGCGGCTTCTTAGTCATCCTTTGGACGGCCGGTGCACCAAACACGCTCTTGAAGGCTGACTCGGCGGGCGGCTTCTTATCATCCGTCGGAGGCCCGTGCACCAAACGCGCTCTTG